ATAAGATAGAGATTTCACTCTCCTTTGCCACTATGATTTCACCTAATTTGAGATGCTACAATTCCATTTTTTTCTTTTTAGGTTTATTTTTCATTGGAGATTTCTGGAGAATTATAAGGGATATCAGAATACACAGGTTTTTCTGTCTCATCTGTTGCTGGCAGAACACTAACTTCCTGGAGTTACTCTCTTAAATCTGACTGCAAATAATGATACAAAGAGAGAATCTGATGAAAGTGTCTTCTGAGATGTTATTTTGAAGGCAATGCTTGCATATGAACTTGGCCTCTTGCCTGCTGGGCTGGTGCTTTATCTCTTGAGCCATATATCTAGTCCTGCTTCAAGCTGGCTAGATGGAGACTAATTGGGAACTTCTCTGTCTGTGCTGGCTTTGAATAGCTATTCTTTAGGTCTCAGGTTCTTGAGATCTTGGTATTCTAGGCATGAACCACCAGCATCCACTTTCATTCTTTATTTTCACTGTGTGATTCATTAGTCTCAGAATTTTGTAATCAGAAATGGTCTTAAGAGTTAACAAGACCCCATTTGTCAAGGTTTCTTACAAGAATAATGATCCTGAGGGTATATTTGTTCTAAATTCTAGAATTGGGGGAATTTGTAATATGATCGCTATATACATGATAACATTAAACATACCATCATAGGTATAGTGATAATTCTATGATTGTATATATATATATATATATATATATATTTAAATTTATTCCTCCTAAACTAATGAGATGTCAGTGTGGCTGATGAGAGGATTCTCACTTTATGACTTACTATCTTTGAGACCTTACATGTTAAAATGAACCCTAGGACTAAGTGTTTTAATTCTAGGTATGTTTTTTACTGTGCTGGGCAATTGTAATTGTTCAGGATGAAATCTTGTGAGGTTTTGATTGTGGCTTTTGCTTTTGTGTGTTTTGTTTTCTAATTTGATTGTATTAGGTATACTTTTGATGTTTTTTTCTTCTTTGGGCAAAGTTACCTCTGAAAGGCTTGGCTCAGACTTGCACTGGCTAAGTGGTACTCTACCATTTGAAACATGGCTGAGGGTATGGTTCTTTAGATTGGGTGTCACACTGTTGCTGGGACTGGCCTCAGATCACAATCCTTCATTTATACCTCCCAAATAATTGGGACTACAAGCATGAGCCATCACAGTTGACTTGTTCTTTGAGATAGGATCTTGCTAATTTTATCTCTGGGATGACTTCAAACTTCTAACTCTACCTCCTTTGAGCTGGATTGTCATTTTTCCCAGGGTGCTAGTCTCTCTTCTTGCTCATGGTTCATTACTATTTGGGAAAAATAAACACACACACACTCACACTCACACTCATGGCCTTGGCACTATCCCTTTTTCACATAGACTTTGTTGCCCAGGCTGGCTTCAAACCATAATCCCCAGATCTCAGCCTCGTGTGTAGCTTGGATTACAAGTGTGACTCACTTGCACCTGGCTATTTTACAATTTTTGGTTGTGAGTTTCTTTACTATTGGAGTTATCTGTTTCTATAGAAGTCCTTGGTTGTGGAGGGTCTCACAAAAAAACCCTGAAGTTTACTGAAGTACAGAAAACTTGTATGCATACATGCAGGTATTTAAAGTGTAACATTTGATATATTTGTGATCTCATACAGTGACCACAGTTAAAATCATAAGCTTATTTACCACCTGACAACCTTACCTTGCCTTTGCCAATTCTTTTGCTCTTCAAGCAATCACTTACCTGCTGGAATAATTTGAATTTTCTAAACTTTTACACAATGAGAATCATTGTATGAAATGTATACAGTGAGAATTATTTTCTTCTTTAGTTACACTTTTCACTTAATTGTCTTCAGGTTCATGTTATATGAATCTTTTTATTGTGGAATAGTACCCCATTATGTGGACATACCACATTGGTTTATCTAGTTACCTATTAAATGACATTTGGGTTATTTCCAGTTTTTAGTTATTGTGAGTACAGCTGCATATGTAGCAGTCTTCCTATAAACAGAAGTGTCTTGTCCACTTTTGGACAAGATCTATGAGTGGATTGACTGGTCATGTAGTAAATATGTACAAACCTACGAAACTGGCTTTCATTGTACATTCCCATCATCAGTGTACTTGTTCTGCTTCCGATGTGTTTTCCTTAACACTTGTTGTGGTCTCTTTTTAATTTAACATTGTATACATTCTAATGTATCTGTAGTATTTTTGATAAACTTTCCTGTAATATCATTGATCCAGGAGGAATTTTTTTACATTGCTTTTGTTTTCACTCATGGTTTTCATTGTGTCTGTGTATTTAATGATATATTTTAATTCTATGCCCATTGTAGTTTAAGCTTGCCACATTTTTTCTTTGGAGATTTGGAAGTAAGCCTTTCTATTTTCTTTGATACTAGTGTATTTGTTCTGGCTTTCCCTTCACTGAGCAAGGTTACCACAGAAAGCCCTCGCCTCTTGTTCTTATGTAGAGGAACATTCACATTCCTAGTCCCCAAACAGCAGAAGGACCCATCTCTAGTGCTCATTGTACTTACTGGCTTTTCAGATTTCTCTCAGATTTTACTCCGTACTTGCTCAACTGACTTGAAATTTTGGAAATGAACCAAAATCTGAGTACATATGTAATGCAATATTTCTCTGTGTATGGAACAGAAAGGTCTAAACTCATATTATTAAACCTAGAACTGTCAGATTAGCTTAGCAATGTGTTTACTGTGCATATAGCTGTTATTCAGAATTACAGAACTCGGAGCATCTCATGCAGAAACCTGGGTTTCATGGTGCATAGGTTGTTTCCTGGTGCTTGAGCAGAAGATTAGTAGAGTCACATTGCTAGCATGGTGATCATGCCTGTAGCTACAGCACTGATGGGGGTTGTGAAATAGGAGAATCATGAGTTCAAAGCCAGCCAAGACTGCGTAAAGAGACTATGCTGAATTCCAAACTATAGAACTACATACAAAAAAATTAGTGACTCACAAACAGTCTGTACTGAATCGGTATTTATAGTGTTAGTGTATCTAGTTTATATATGTATCCAGGCATATGTAGATAGATGCAGTTAAGCACTTTAAATACCATATACCAGTTAAAAAAATTCTTTTTGCTATTTACTTTTTGATGATTCAGTACTAGAAATCCTGCCAAGCAGTAATTTCATTTTCTTCATGTCTAAAAGTAAATGTGGAAAGCTGGCTTCGTAGGCTTCTTCCTTTCTTCTGTTTTTGACATTTTTTTCTGTTGTTACTTTACTGTTTAAAATTATCTTCAAATAGTTCTACAAAAGTGTTTCAATTCAATATGTCAGTTTGTGAGTACAATACATATTGATCACTGTCATCTTTCCCATCACTTCCAATTTCTCCCAACCCCCCCCATCCCTTCAAGTTACCTAGTTCCATTTTCACATATGTACATTGAGTATTAATTTATCCTGTTTTCCTTAAGCTTCACCCCCTATGGAATTAACATACCCTACTAAACTGCATCTCCTAATTATTTACATTTCTGTAAAGAATGCCTACTTCAGGAAAATACTTAATTGTGTCTCACAAAAATGTAGCACATCACTAGATGGTACACAGGCAACCATTTTTTTTTGTATTTCAGTCTCTGAAACTCACAAAAGTAGTGATTTCTGAACATGATTGTTCAGAGGATATCAGAGATAAACATAAGTTAAATAAAAATATTATAGTATACCTAGAATATGAATATGGTAAAAAAAAAGTTGTGACAACTATTTAAACACAAATCTTTGAAGACCAGCAAACACTTCTTCTAAAAGGGGTTTCTTTTACGCAGCAAGTTTCAAGTATTTCATGTTCTCTGGATGAAAGAACATTTTTGTCAAAGAGGAGGCTGTGAAGATGTCTTTGTATAATACTTCGTAGACAGCTCTATTCTCTTATGTAGCCTGGATGTGCTCTGGACCAGCTTAGGATAAAACTACAGTAACAGCTGGGTGTGGAGGGAAGACTTTCTCTATGGTTCATTGATGTCAGTGATCAAGAGTTGATAGGAGAGCTTGAATGTAGCTCAGTGCTTGTAAAGTGCTTATCTAGTAGGCTCAAGGCTCTGTATTCAACCCAATACTGAAAAAATAGCAAAGACATCCTTTTTTCTCTCATGGATTAGCACTGGGCATGGTCATTTTACTTTACATTAACTACATTCAGTACTTGATGATGAAAAAATTATATTAAGTGAAGTAAGCCAGACCCAGAGAAAAAAGATGACATAGTTTCCCTCATTTGTGGTGGATAGAATATACCTCTAAATCTATAAGTGTAAACACTGGGTGATATGCAAGTGGTTTACACATGAATTACCCAAAGTTTAATAGACTTTATGGAGAGAACATATAGTATAATTTTTTTTAGCAAGACTAGGTCAAAGCCCAACAAAATCAGCATCAGAAAATAGGTACATGCCAAGACGTTATGTCAAAAAAGGAACTTTACGACTTTGGCGGGGGGGGGGGCGCGAGGAAAGGGGTAGAGATGGGAAGGGATGGGAAGCAGAAACAAATGAGGAGGCAACAATGCTTGAAATGTACTCATTACCTTGCCCATGTAATTTTAACCCCTCTGTACAGTATTTTCACAATAAAAACCACTGAGCAATTAGTAATAAAAAGACAGGCCTTCAGAAAAAAATAGGTACATGCAAGAGGGTCGGTAGGCCAAGTGGAAATGGGTAGATGAGTGAAGGGGAGTGAGGGGAAGGATGCAGTCAAATTCATTTTATGTATCACAAAATTAAGAAAAGTGAGGGAAGAGATGGGTCAAAGTGGGGTGAGAATGTTGAAATTGAAAGGGGTGACACTGATCAAGATACATTGTATTCATAAACTGCTTTGTTAAATGACACCTTGTTGCTGAAGCTGCTTAAAGATAATACTTTAAAAATCTACTTTGTAAAATGATTAATTTCTTTAACCATAAGAACAAGGACAAGAGGAGGACTGAGGACTCTTTTCCCCTTCCCAGTGTATCCAAGATTCATGCAACATGCGGACTTCCATGCAGGCTGTGGCCCTCTGGGGAAAGAAGGCCCCTCCCCACAGCATCACAGCTATCATGATCACCGAGGACCAGCAAACGATTGTGACTGGAAGTCAAGAGGGTCAGCTCTGTCTGTGGAATCTCTCACCTGAACTAAAGGTTAGTTGAATCTTACTGGTCTTGAAGCAGACATCACACTCCTGGTCTTTTCTATCTGCAGTGACTGAGGAAAGTATGTGTGATTCTTCTAGATGCTCAGTAATTAATAGGTTTTACTTAGGAATTTACAGAAAGTCAAGTATTATATGATAGATCAAGATCATATTTGAAAATTATGGATATGGCTAATCTTAGCTATCAGCTAAGTGTTATCATCCTTTAAGCTTTGCTGAGTTTTACTATTTTATATCCTGAATTATATGTTTAAGTAAGTGAACTTACAGACATGTAAGTATAGTTCTAAAAATTATGGCTCATTAATCGAAACAGAGAGTACTCCTGAAAACCCACTATTAAGCAAATGAGTAATATCTTAATTATCTGGGTATTTCTGCTGGTTTAGCCTTCTTGCTTTTCTTTCAGTCTTTGCTTTCCTATGACTTTTTTTTTTTTTCGGAGCACGTCAAAAAAATGCTCTAACTCCAATTTACTATTGTCTTCCTATTCCCCAACCTGACCTCACCTAGGATTCAGCCCACCAATTAGCAATTAATTGTCTTTGTCCTAAGTCATAAACATTTAACATATTGGGATAGATAGTTGCTTAACTCTAGCAGCCTCTACAACCAATTTGAACATTTTAACTAATGATGTACTTAAAGTATACTGCTCTCATTAAGAACCCTTTTAAAGATCAAAGACTATTTTTATCCTTTAAAGTCTGTCACTTTAAAACCTAAATTAACAATTAATTGTAATTCTATTTTATAGTGTAATTAATTAACATCCTTTATCACTGAATAGTTCTACTACAAGATTGCCAAGAGCTGCATAGCAGACCAGCTCTATTTAATGTTTAAGAACATCATTGAAAGAAAGAATGAGTATTATGGAAACAGTTGTAGTTTGAAAAATGGGTGGCCATATATATCGGTAATTTTTTTCTATTGTAGTTTCAACTTTTTTTGTGTGCCTATACTGAGGCTTGAATTAAGGGCCTGGGCATTGTCCTTTAGTTTTTGTTTTTTTTTTTCTTCTCAATACTGGCACTGTACTATGTGAGCCACAGCTCCACTTCTGGCTTTTTATTGGCTAATTGTATATAAGAGTCTTATGGACTTTCCTGTCAGGGCTGGCTTCAAACCACAGTCCTCAGCTTTCAGCCTTCTGAGTAGGCAGGATTACAGGCCTGAGCCACCTGCACCTGGCCCCTTAGCTTTGCTTTTCCTGCACAGGCTAGCTTTGAATTGAGATCCTCAAGTCTCAGCCTCCTAAGTAACTAGGATTACAGATGTGAGCCATTGGATGTTCATATCCTATTCTTTTATGGCTTCAGATGTCTTGTTAATTTTTTTTTGTTAAACTGTATTATTTTCTGGCTGGAATAGCTGCCTAATAATATGTAGGTCACCATATGGGATAGAAATTGACAATCAAAGTATTCTGTTCTTTCTTGATAGATTCATAAAATAATATAAGAGAAATTATCTTTGTATAACCATTGGCCCATCTGGATCTTACCCATGGTAGGAATTTAAATTGATATAGCAATTTGGGAAAACAGAATGGAGATTTGTCAAAAATTAAAAATACAATGATCTGGTGTCCTAGTGATCATTTATGCATACATATATGTGTATATAAGTATATTCACACACAAATATACTGCTTCACAGATTTTTGAAATCTGCACAGATTTTTGTTTTGTTCTTGACATAAGGTCTCACTACATAGCCCAGGCTGACCTCAAATTTACAGTCCTCCTGCTTCAGCCTCCTGAGTGCTGGGATCACAGGTGGGATGCGCCCAACATAAAGTATATATTTTCATGTGCCACCATCATTTGGGAGTTACTTTGTGCATAATAATAATAAATAATGATTTGTGTTCAAAACCTGGATGTTGTAAAATAGGTCTGATAGTCATGTAGGTGCTTGTGGTAGGCCAGAACAAACAAAATGTGTAGAGCACAAACAGCATAACTCTTTCACCTAGAAATGTACTGTTCGGTAGATTTTAACATACCACATATTGGTTTTCTGAAACTTGTGTACTACAAAGGCATACTATAAAAAGGGTTTGTTCTTATACTTGCTCTTGTTGATGTGATGAATTACATTAATTGATTTGCTTATATTGAACCAGCTTTGCATCCATGAAATGAATCCTATTTGATCACAGTATATGTTGGGAGTGTAAACTCGTTCAGCCACTCTGGAAAGCAGTACGGAGGTTCCTCAGAAGAGCGCTCCTATGACCCAGCAATTCCACTTCTGGGCAGTTACCCAAATGATCACAAACAAGACCATACTAAAGCTACCAGCACAACTATATTTATCACCGCATTATTCACCATAGTTAAGATATGGAATCAACCCAGATGCCCTCAGTAGATTAATGGATGAGGAAAATGTGATCTATCTATCTATCTGAATTATATGCTTCTATCAGAAAGAATGGTACTGCCTCATTTGTAAGGCATTGGAAAGACTTGGGAAAAAAATCATATTAAGTAAAGTTAGCCTGGCCCAAAGAAACATAGGTCCTATGGTATCTCTTATTTGCAATAATTAGTATATGTCTAGGATAGTCTTAGCAGATGAACAGAATAGCTCAATAGTTATATGCATATGACCATATAAGATGATACTAAGTGAAATGTACTCTAAGACATGGACATAAGAGGTTTTTCTTTATTGGTGTTGTTTTTAATATAATGTGTGGTTTTTTGATTCTTTTATATGTTCTTCCCTCTATGGTATAGCTTCTGTTGTCACTGTATTTGATTTTAGTCCCCTGGTATTGTATATATGTTTATTTGAATTAGGGAAGGGAAGGGAAACAACAGAATGGTGAGACAAAGGACAAGCGGGGGGAAACCAATAGCACAGCAATATACACAATATGTTGGAAATGATCTGTATAACTTGGAGGTGGTGGAGTGAAGGGAGGGAAAGTAGGAGAAAAATGAGGGAAGGCGTAACAAGTTTGACAAGAAATGTACTTATTACCTTACTTATGTAGCTGTAACTCCTCTGCACATCACTTTGACAATTAAAAAAGGGTTTGTTAATCAGAATGCATAGTGTCACGTGTTTTAAAAATTTTTTACATAGTCTAAGGTTGTATAATAGCTTGTTCTCATCATTTTCAGATTTCAGGTAAAGAACTCATATTTGGTCATTCGGCTCCCGTCACATGCTTGGCAAGAGCAAGGGACTTTTCTAAACAGCCCTATGTGGTCAGCGCTGCTGAAAATGGGTAGGTGTGATGTGAGGAACTTGTCTCCTCCTCCATTTCCTTCCCTTTAAAAAAATTACAATGGATACAATTTCAGGGCTGAAAAAACTTTATAGCCTGCACCTCTTTTTCATTTTTTTATTCGCATATATATTTTTGTTGTAAAAATACTGTACAGAGGGGTTACAGTTACGTGAGTAGGGTAATGAGTACATTTCCTATCAAGCATTGTTACCTCCTCCTTTGATTTTCCCCTACCATCTCTTCCCTTCCCACCTCCCCAACTCCTCCCTCCCACCCCCAAATTGTAAAGTTAGTTTTCAACATAGTGTCTTGTACATCTCATTGTTACAATGGGTCAACCTGTATCCTTATTTAAGCATTTTGTTATATCCCTTCCCCTCCCCAAATTATAAAATGTATATATAAGATTCAGGACACCGGAATCAGATACGGTGAAAACGGGGGTTATATCGTGGGGGAAGAACAAAAGAAACAAGAGAATCACATAGTGCATGTAAGTACATTAAAAACAATAGCAAGAAAGAAAAAAACCACTTGTGTCCCTGTCTTGGGGTTTATTTCACTTTCATCTCATTTTTTTCTGAACTTCAAAAACTTGTACAAGAGGATTGTAATGTAACATGACCATCTAAGTGCCCAGTGCTTCTTGATCAGAATCGTCCTTTAACCTGTTCCTTTTATGAATAAGAAAAATGAATCATTAAGTCTTATCTCTTGATCTCAAGAAATATAGTCAGTTTTGTGGCTATGAATGTGATACTCATTTTTTGCTGGGTAGCAGGAATGATAACATCCCAATATGTGTATCAGGACTTCTGGTCCCTATGCTATGCAAAGAACAATGACAAATGCCTAATATAGAATTGGAAAGGGAAAATCCTATTTGTCTTTAATCATGAGCAACCCCCTTTGACTTCCTAGGCAAATTCTTCATAGTTTTATGAAATGATTAAACAGTCTTTGTGTTGTTCCTGCAATAGCTTGCTGCTATTGTGAGTGGGATGCTGAGAGAGAGAAAGGAAAGGAAGATACCCAGTGATTTGGGTGAAGTTCCATCTAAATTAGTGTGCTATGGTGAGGTAGGACTTAGCTGCAGGAAGAAGCTCATTGGCAGATTAACCAGAATCTGTTGGAGTTACTTGCAAAATTATACTAAGGAAATGTGGAATTTCTTCAGCATATATTTGTCAATGAAAGATGATGTTGCTGGTTGAAACAAGAGGAACTGCTTTTGTTTATGCCCCAAACAGATATTATATATGTGTGTATACATACACATTTATATGCCTCTGAATTTTGAAAACCAATAGAACACTGAAGAGCCAAATATCCTACTTGCATAAACAAGTTTATTTATTGAGACCATTGATATCACAGAGGTACCTGGTTATCTTCCCTTGGTTTATAACAAAGCAATAGTAGGTTGTATTTAAAGAGATTGAACATGGGCTAAATCTGAAGTGAAATATCCTACTATGTTCATCTTTAACACTGGCCTACAGCTTTTCCACACATGCTGAGATATTGATTCCTGCTCTGAAGCAGGTGGAAGATGGCAGAGCCAGAGTTTAGACACAAATATTCCCTCCTGTTTTATGGAGCTACCTGCCATTTCAGGTTACTTCAAATTCTTTCTGAAATAAAACAACATAAATAGAGAGTGGAAATGAAATATTTTCCTTCCCTATAGAACATGTTTCTTAATCTCAGTACCAGCGATACTTTGACCTGTACATTTCCTTTATTGAGAGGGACCTGTTATAGAAGGTTTAGCATCTTTTCTGGTCTCTCTCCACTAGATGCCAGTAGTGTGTTCCTAGTTGGGACATCTACAAATACCTCCAAATACTGCTAAGGACTTGTCCTTGTAAAGTGGAAAACTGGGAACAAAGTCATTCTAACTTAAGTACTGTTGTTTTAGAACATTGGGTAGGAAACTGAGAAAGCTGCAAACCACTAAAAATGTTATTTATCATTAGTAGTGACCATCTTTTGCTTTTGTTGTTGGCTCTTTTTTTTGGTCAGGATTCCTTCACTATGTAGCCCAGGCTGGCCTCAAACTCATGATCCTCCTGCCTCTGCCCCCAAATGCTGAAATTACAAGTGTGCACCACCAAGCCTGGCAGGCATTCATTTGCTTTGTAATACTTCATATCCTTTATAAAGCTATGAAACCTTTTATGTTTTTTCCTATGGACATTGTTGTTTATGTGTTACAACTGTGAAAATGAAAAGCTGTGCCAAACAACTCTGAAACAGCCATTCTAATATTTGTGAGCCAAAATTCTATAAATTTTAAATATACATCCATTGGTGTATTTTGTAACTGCATTTATTAGACCACATCATTTAAGCACCAAATAAGAATTTTTCAAAATGATGGGAGGGGGGGTGTTTCTAAATATTAAAGTGACAAGATGATTTCAAGTCAGAAGTGAAGAAATGAAGAGGGGAGAGTACAGTCAAGAGTTAATTGTAGCCGGGCGCCAGTGGCTCACGCCTGTAATCCTTGTTACTCAGGAGGCTGAGATCTGAGGATCGTGGTTCAAAGCCAGCTGGGACAGGAAAGGCCATGAAACTTATTCCCAATAAATCACTCAGAAAGCCAGAAGTGGCGCTGTGGCTCAAGTGGTAGAGCCCTCGCCTTGAACTGAAGAGCTGAAGGACAGCCCAGGGTTCAAGCCCCATGACCAAAAAAAAAAAAAAGAATTAATTGTACAAACAACAAAATTAAGAAAAGGGGTGCAGTGGGTCAAAAAAAGGGTGAGAATGTTGATTGACCAGGGTGACATTAATTAAGATGCATTGTATTCATAAACTGTTCTGTTAAATGGCACCTCCCTTGTACAACTACTTAAAGATAGTAAATTAAAAAAAAGAAAGACCAGCATCAATGAGAGACTGAATGTAGCCTCTAGGTGGCGCTGTTTGCTTTAAAAATAATACCTTACTCTGGAAGATGGCACAACTTGATGCATTGTGCTTTTCAAAATATGTAGTTTAAGTTCATTTTAAAGAGGATGCAGTTTCCATGGAAAGATTGTTGTACTGTCACTGTCATGGGCAGTGATCTCTGTATCCTTACAATTTCTTGTAGGCCAGGGTGGCCCTAAAGTCAGATTTGCAGGCTGCTGGCAGGGTATAATTACCCAAACAAAAAGATACACATACGGTATGTCAACCCTGCTAATGACCACGACATTTTCTTGCCCAGTAATCTGTAACAAAAAGCCATATAAACGATCAGGTTGCATGTAAGTGCAATGCTCAAGAAAAACTTGGTGGCACAAAAAATTATTCTAGCCAATTGAGTGGAAATGACAGCAAATAATACAGAACTATCTCTTCTAGGGAGATGTGTGTCTGGAATGTCAGCAATGGACAGTGCGTGGAGAAGGCCACACTTCCTTACAGGCACACTGAAGTCTGTGTAAGTATACCCATTTCCTGCAGAATATTTCTGGATGCTGCAACTGATATACAACAGCTGCTTTGTGAACATTGAAAGAAATAGCTTTGGGGAATATTATTTTCTTGGATTTTTTTCTTCTTGAGAGTAAAAAAAATCAGTAATTACCTGCTACTTTTGCATTGTTTCTCAAAGATACTGCTTGATTTTTTTTTAACTGATTCTTTCATTTTTTTAAAATCTTAACCTTTTGAATGGCCATTTCATTCATTTCCCTTAAAGACAAAAACCACACAAAAACACATACATACTTGGCTTTAATGATATCCTATTTTATAAAGCATAAACTTTCCCCCCATTCAGTTTCAATTTTAGACATATTCTTTTGGTATTCTTTGTTGTTGGTATTGTTTGTACCAGTACTGGAACTTGAACTCAGGACCTCTTGCTCTTGCTTGGCTTTTTCTACACAAGGCTTTTTCTACACTCTACCACTGGAGTCTTATTTCCACATCTGGCTTTTTGTTTGTTAATTGGAGAGAAGAGTCTCTCCTCAATCTTAGCCTCCTGAGTAGGTAACAATTTCAGGTGTGTGAGCTACCAGCACCCATTTGGATAGGTTTTTAATTTCCAACTTATTTATTTATGAACAGAGAACAAGAGGTGCAACAATCTTTATAATACTTTCTCAATAATTAGTGATTTTTTGTATTAAGTTCTGGGATTTGAACCCAGGAACTCACACTTGCTAGGCAAGTATTCTATCATGAGCTTTATTTCTAGTCTACTTCCCAATGTTCAAAGCAGGATTTGGCCTTTACAGGATAAATTTCAAGGACATGGAAGGTAGTAGAGGATACATTTCAAGCACATAGAAAGTAGTTGCATGATTCCATTGTTGTTGACAGTGTCTTTTTATATTTTATACACTGCTTTTTAGTGTTGTTTTTTAGTGTTGCTCTTCAACACTCAACAAACTTTTAAATTTTTTGGTGACTAAAACCCTGCACCAACAGAGAGCTCATTAAAGGTAGAATTTACTACTTGATCTTTATAAGAAGCTATTTCAGAAACTTATATTTGGCACCAAAACTTTTCAGTTTTTCTTTCATATCTACATGTAGCAGTATTGCTGGAGTAAAGAACCAGGGTTTTGTGTTGATGTTTAACTCTATAAAAATAATATACCTGTGAATTTTCCATAATTTGGGATGATGTCTCTTCTTTTTATAAGATCTCCCTTTCTGCAGAAAAATGATGAAATACAAGTAAACCTGAAATGTAAAATCCACATTGCATGAGTATAAACTTAAAAGTTTTAGTTGCCATCCAATTTATTAGAACAGAGCTAAAACTAAAACTTCAGATTAGTCCTCAACACAGCTAAAGGTTATGTTAATTTTCATGAATATTAATTTTTTACTTTGAATTTTATTTGCATAGTATTACCATTGCTCATTCCGGATGACAGGGGAAGGCTGGCTTCTGTGCTGTGGAGAATACCAAGACATTCTTGTTATGGATGCCAAAACTTTGTCAGTTATTCACACTTTCACATCCCAGTCTCCTGATTGGATCAAATGTATGTGCATTGTTCACTCCATGAGAATTCAAGGTAATAGTAAAAGGAGGAGAATCTATGCTTCCATTTCCCAGCTCTTCTTAGTACTTGTAAGATCATCAGACAAGTCTTTGCCTGAAATAGCAGGACTCTTGAAGCTTTGGGCTTGATGTATTTTTTGGATAAAGTCATGTGAAAACAGTTTCTGTAGTGATTGATGCCAGAGGAAAGTGGGAATAGCTCCTTTCTTACTTTGGAGGGTTAATGCTACCAATATATAATAGCTATCATAGTTCTTCTTTTAAATCTATTCTCTATATCTTCTCTATTCTCTGTATATTGAGATTTCAAAGCAAAATTGGTATAAGATTGAAATGTTAATTAAAAAAAAGAAAACACACCCAAAGTCTACCAGATTTGGTGGTATTGAGTAATCTCAGGTACTCAGGAGGTAGCGATGTTAGGATTGTGGTTTTGAGGCCAGCCTAGGTAATAAGGTTAGCAAGACCTCATCTTAAAAACAAGCCCAATGTGGTTGTATATCGTTCTGGTTGGGACTACCTTGGGATGTGGAAGTAGGAGAATGGAGGTCCAAGATCTGCCTGGGCAAAAGACCTAACCATAATTGAAAAGCAAAGAACAAAAGGACTAGAGAAGATGACACCAAATGGTAGAGTGCTTATACTTGCCAAGAAGAAAGCAAAGACAAAAAAATCCAAAGTTGCGTATTATGCAGACCTGCATCATCCTCAAATGAAACAGTTTACACTAGCAAGTTATGGCAATAGTTACCTCATGTGTGATCTCTGTTGTTTTTACAGAAGATTCTCTTCTTGTGGTGTCAGTAACAGGTGAACTCAAGGTTTGGGATCTCTCCTCATCTATCAACAGCATTCAGGTTGGTTGGCTGGAAACTGTGTTTTTCCCATTTCAAGAATATTTATTGAAATGTTTTAAATTATAAGATTATGAACATATAATCATGTTCATGTTTAAAAGTTCAAATGATGCAGAAGTATATAAATACCTCTATCTATTTTCCCCTCACTCTTCCCAGAGAATGAGGGAGGATGTGGAGTTGGATTGTGTCCTTCCAACCTTTTCTCCACACATATACAAATGATTTTATCTACACACACAAACACAGTACATTTTTAATTTTACAAATTTATAGCAGAATGTCTTGTGTTCTAGTAAGAGAAGACCCTCTCTTTTCTAGGGGTATATAAGTGATTTCAGGAAGATAACCATGGGGGTAAAATCACAGGCCCCGAGCATACAGTATATTCACATACTCACACACTTCCTGGCATTAGGCTACAAATCAAAGGAATGGACAAGAGCGCAAATACAGTATTTGTGTTGGTTACAGAATTATTCAGGCTATTCCAAGTGGTTCTTGATAGAGCTCTTTTTTTTTGGTCAGTTGTGGGTCTTGAACTCTGGGCCTGGGCACTGTCCCTCAGCTCTTAGCTCAAGGCTAGTGCTCTACCACATGAACCACAGCACCACTTCCAGTTTTCTGGTGGTTAACTGGAGATAAGAGTCTCATGGACTTTTTGCCCAGGCTGGCTTTGAACCACTATCCTCAGATCCCAGCCTCCTGAGTAGCTAGGATTCCAGGCATGAGCCACTGGTGGCCAGATGAGCTCTTTCGTGAGGAACCCAGATATTGAGTTCAAGAAATACTCCACCCAACATCATTAGAAACTTACTGAGATCATATTTGTATCTGTGCTGTCTTCTCTTGTGTTTCTTCTTTTAAAAAATTATCATTAAGACACTCTAGGTTTATAAATATTTTACATATTTTGTTTGACATTTTTTCCATGTCTGTAACATAATGATTTTATCTTCAACATTTCTGCATTACCCTTCCCCAGAATGATTATATATAACTAAGTCCTTGAATCTACTAGGAGCTGCTGCTTCAAAGTAGCATGTTAGTTCAAAACACTCCAAAGAAACTGGGGTACTTTGCATTTTATAATGGTGTGATCTACAGCAGGCATATAGAACAGGTAATCTGGTGGTTCTATGTAAACTTCCTGGAATTAGTACTAATGTGTTTTCTTTCTTTCTACAGGAGAAGCAAGATGTCTATGAAAAAGAATCCAAGTTTCTGGAATCCTTGAACTGCCAGAGCATACGATTTTGCACATACACAGAGAGACTTCTGTTGGTGGTGTTTTCTAAGTGTTGGAAGGTATTCTAAAATAATAGTAAATTTATGAACCTGTTTATGATAATATCATTAAAACATAGAATGACTTGTGTTTTATGCCTGATTAACCAGTGTCCAACTTCGCATATATAGCCATTTTGCTCCCCACGAGATTTCACATATACATTAGTATATTCTAATTTTATCAGTAACAAGCCATCAAAAGTAATAGCATTTGTCTCTCAAAGTATTTTCAAAAACTACCTGTACTGTAGTATCAGAAAATGAATACTTTTGACTAAAATACATTGACCTTTATTTTTAGATGTTTTGTCTTTTTTCCATTTTGTATCTGTACAGTGTTTCTTTGGAATACATTCTTTCCAGTAAATATATTCACTGATGTCTCCAAGAATAAACTAAGAGCTAACTTGCCGTCACAGGATGGCACTTTCTTTTCCTTAAATTTTCCATATAAATGACTCAGCAAAAGTATGGTGATAGTACATTTATTAACAAAGATTTAAAGTATATGTTCTAAGAAAGGACTTCTGCTATACAAGTATTTTATATGCATAACAAATTTTCAAATGGCAAACTTGGACTACACATGAGGAAAATAAAATTAAAAAAAGAAAAATGGCTAACAATTTGGGATTTTGAGTTTTTACATTTAATAAGCACAGTCTGACAATGAGACCACCAAGTTAGATTATTGCCACATTGTTACTCTTACCTAAATAATCTTGATCAGCCTGCATTCTATTTTCATCTCACTGGAGGATTATATTGTAAGGATTTGTTAATGAGCATCAATGCTGTGTTCTAGGTCTATGATTATTGTGACTTTTCCCTCCTGTGGACGGAAGTGGGTAGAAATGGACAGTTTTTTGCTGGTGGAGAGGTGCTCGCGGCTCACAGGATCCTCATCTGGATGGAGGATGGTCACAGTTACATCTATCAGCTGCTGAACAGGTGGGCTCAGATGGGAGCAGCATACAAAATACTCAGGTAGAAAATGAACTTTGGGAGGTTTATTATGGAAAAATCCCTGCATGCTGCCCATGATCAAAAACCAGAACAAAACAACTTTGGCACTAGAAGATTTAGTCTGGGCTTGGTGGGCTTCAGCTTTTGTGTGGAGCAGCAGGGGACGGAGGAATGAGATTAACCATGTATAACTTGTACAGCTGGTGCTGGGTTTTCAAAAAGTCACTTGTAATTATTAACCCAACAATTTCTAACCAGAATTTAGAAACTTGAATGGTACCATTCGGCTTTTGAAAGTGGAAAGAGGGAGGAGGGAAACTCCAAACTTCTAAACTTGGCTTTTTTATTTTTCTAATGCAGTGGGCTTTCAAAAAGCATATACCCTGCTGATGGAAAGGCGCTTAAAGAGACAATTTATCCTCATTTACTGTGTTCCACTTCTGTAGGAGAGAACAAGGTAAAGCAGAAAATGGGTGGCTGCCTCAGAGCTGTTTCTTAGATAAGTGTGGCTTTGTAACACTCTTGAAAAAAAATTAAATTGCATCAAGTTGCTAGTGAGAAAATCAAGCTTGTTAATGGGGTGAAGAGAAAATTCTGCCTTTAAAACTGTTGGTGATGTTTGGTTAACAAAATAATTGCTACTTACGTAAGGAGAGTTACAAATGTTGAAGAAAAGAAAGGTAAAATTCAAATTTCACCAGCAACTACAAATAGTTGCTGTGAATTTTAAAATTCATTTCATGTGTTTACTTACTGCAGTTACTTATTGTAGTTGGATTTTTTTAATTTAGAAATGTTGTGAGGATTATATAGTGATTACTATATGTTTTAGCGAGAGCCACCAATTATTAACATTTTGTCATATTTTTTGTCCCTCTCACACACAAACCCCTCCCCCAAACTCCACACTTGAAAAAAAATATGTTCTCTCTCGTAGGTGGTTTGGCAGAACATGGTTAACATCTCAATTTATCTACTACAATTTTAAAACTTCATGAAATGATTTTTATACTGATTTTTAATTTAACCATATATCAAGATTACTGTCACATGTACATAGCTATTCTTATGAGTAATTTATTAGAATAAATATAATTATGATTTTTGGATGAGAATTGAAAATATAATTGTGAGTGTGTTACTTTGCTGAATTAATAGTGTCAAACACTATTATAGAGTGTCAAACACTCTATAAAGTCTGAAAATCTAAGCAGTTTATTTCAGTGTTGTCATACAAAGTGATTTTTTTAAACTTCTAGACTGTTACCAGTTAATCATCAAAAACATATTTCATGGAGTGAGAAAGAGTTTTGAATTATTGATTTGTCAACCATAAAATCATGTTACTTTTTTTTTTAACAGAATGATGATTTGCTTGACTAGTCAGCAGAGTGATTAGGAATCTTACACCTTGGTGATGGTCCCTTTAACATATCCATGAAGAGTTCTGTTGCAAAACCTTAATAAGATTTCTGTCAGCCAAAAGTTAAAACTGTAGGTGCCACTGGGGGCAAACTTTAGAATAATGACATCATCCAGGGCTGTTTCTAAAATTATTTGTGGGTAGAAATGAAAAAGACATTTTTAGTTATTTTAAAGGATCTACTACTGTTCCCTACTTTTTAGTTCCAGAGTGATTTGATTGATTGATTGGCTGACTTTTTTTTTTTTAACCAGATATTGTTTTCCTAGAAGCCAAATGGAAGCTGTGCCCTTTAGGAACTTGTACTGTACTACGAATGTCAATGATAGGCATGGCAATTTAAAAAAATCAGGATGCTATAATGCTTTGTTTCTCAATGTAAAGACATACATTTGTGAATCTTCTAACTAATAATTCTTGTTTAGACAACTGCAGTTAATTCTGTATCTTAAAGGTAGGGAGCAGATAGAAGCCAATGATCTAAAATACAAAAGTGTGTAATTGAAAGAAGTTGAGCTCTCTACCCTTAAACTCTTGCTTGCCCTCTATGCAGTGAATCAAGTCAGACCTTCTCCTTGTTCAGTATTCACTAAATACAATACTTTAGAATCTCCCTTATGGATGAAATGAGGAAGACACTGTGGTATGATGGAGAAGATAAGTTTGATAGATGCAGTAACTCTAGGAAAAGGTGCTCTATAAACACATAATCTGGACTAGATGATACCATAAAATTAAAATCTTCAGGTTTGACAGGAACATGTTTTGAGTGTTAGCATTCTAACATACATGAATCTATCTGCTGATGGAGTTGTAGTAGCAAGAATGGGGACTTCTTCCTTCCAGGGGCTTTGTGAAGATATTCCAGGCTTTAGTTTGTACATAGTAATTACTTAGACCTATAACATGGGTTCTGGCTTGTTGAGTTAAGGACCTGGGCTCAGTGTCTCAGCCGACAAGAGAATAAGCCTTGTGTACCATGGTGATGGCAGCTGTAGTAGAAAGAGCCTGAGAAGAGTAGATAAGGAATTTGATAATATGAACTAATAGAGATGATGAAGATGAGGATGAAGATGGTAGATATCCTCTGTTGAATCCTTACTGTCAAACATAAACAGCCTCATTGACTTCAGCTGCCAACAAGATGCCAGTTTGGACCTGCTGTTCAGAGAAGTTAATTCCTAGGTGTTAAACAAAGGCAGTGAATCTTAGATAAGAAATCTTTCAGAGTAATTTTATCAGTTGTTCAGAAAGAAAAAAATAATAAATTGTTACTAGTTATTGAGTAGGTACTAAATGCTAGACATCATTCTAAGAACCTTGTCTTTCTCCACTCATTAATTCTCACAATAAACACTTCCCCTTAAAGAAAATGCTTTTATGAGCTCCTTTTCACAGTTTGAAAAAGTGAAACAGATTAGGTCAATTGCTTAAATTAAGAAACTTGCTCTTTTAATAGAACTACTAGGTGGTAAAACTTGGAATGGAATCCGGCTGACTTCCCACTACAGTCGTGTATGTGTGTGTGTGTGTCTCTGTGTGTGTCTCTGTCTCTGACTGTGAACATGTGCTCATGCGCCAGTCCTGGAGCTTGAACACAGGGCCTGGGCACTGTCCCTGAGCTTTTTTGCTTAAGACTAGTGCTCTAATACCTCAGCCATGCTCCACTTCCAGCTTTTGGGGGGTAATAAATTGGAGATAAGAGTCTCAGACTTTCCTGCTTGGCCTGGCTTCAAACCATTATCCTCAGATTTCAGCCTCCTGAGTAGTTAGGATTACAGGTGGGAGCCACTAGTGCCCACCTACCAACTGCAGTCTTAATGACTATTGACTCTGAGAGGAACGATGTCTTCTATGATTACTGAAATGAAAAAATCAGAACTCATGTGGTAAGGGGCTGTGAAAGGTAGAACTAGATAAGAAACAGAACTAGAGGGGAAAGTATTGGCAAGAAGGAAGGAGTTGAGGGTAGAGTATGCCCAAAGATGCATGGTGGCATGGATGGATTGTGAGCGTGTTGGGCATGGCAGCAATGGGGAATCTTGTCTGTACAAACAGAGCAATAGTTAGGGACGATGTGCTGCACCAACTGCAGCCTCATCAAATCCAAATCAAAACAATGACGAGTTGGGATAATTCTAGTCAATTCAATGAACATTTAAAGACATCATTTCTTTAAAAAAAATCATAGCTGTATGATTAGTCAGACCTCAAAACCACTCTGGATACCACATGCACACACTCATCCTCATCCTGACTTCCTTGGAACTGTTTGTGTTACTCTTTCTTTTGGATTTAGAAGTTTGCATATCTTGGACTTGGCTTGTCGCTTTTTATTTTTATTTCTTTTTTAAATTTATTATTATTTTTTGGGTCCGGTCGTGGGGCCTGAACTCTGGGCCTGGGCACTATCCCTCAGCGCTTTAGCTCAAGGCTAGCGCTCTACCACTTGTGCCACAGCGCCACTTCTGGCTTTTTTTTTTTTGCTTATGTGATGCTGAGGAATCGAACCCAGGGCCTCAGGCATGCAAGGCAAGCACTCTACCACTGAGCCACCTTCCCAGCCCCTAAATTTATTATTTAAAAATATTTATTATTAAGGTGATGTACAGAGGGGTTATAGTTATATAAGTACAATTATTGTTGAACATTGTTACCCCCTTCTCACGTTTTTCTCCTGTTTTCCCTCTCCCTGACTGCTCTCCCCCTCCCCCCCAGTTGTAAAGTTCATTTCCAACATAATGGCTTGTAAGTTTGTATATCATGGATTTGGTTTGTTGTTTTCACATTTTTTTCTGTGCCTCAGTTCCATAATAGTGTCAATAACAGTATTTAGTTCCTAACTTTGTAGTTGGGATTTCATGTAGCATGGTTCTGGTCCTCAGTACTCTCCAGACCTAAAATCATGTCCAGAAATGATAGCTCTTCTCAACTTCTTTAATTCTGGCACTAATAGTTGGCTTTCTTTTCAAGATGCCCTTTATTTGTACATCACAAAAGGTTTGGTTTTCTTTTTTAAATCACTTAATTTTTTTTTTTTGGTAGTTCTGGGGTGTGGGCACTGTCCTTGAGCCTCTCTGTGTTCAAGGCTAACACTCTACCACTTGAGCCACAGCACCACTTCTGGCTTTTTCCAATAATGTAGTACTGAGGAATCGAACCCAGGGCTTCATGCATAATAGGCAAGCACTCTACCACTAAGCCACATTCCCAGCCCCATCACTTAATTTTTATTCCTGGGTCTGCCCAAAGGACAGCTGCACTGCACTGTGAATGGGAGGACTCTAGACATGTTCTTTGGTTGGAGAGTACAATGCCTAATGTTCATAAACTTCTCAGCAGAGCTAGCTTATGTGTGTGTGTGCGTGTGTGTGTATAGATGTGTATATGCATATATACAAGTGTGTATAATTTGTTTATAACACATGTGCATAATGCACATGCTGTATAATACATATAGTGCATTTTATGTATAGGTAATACATATTAAATATAAATTAGGGGGACACTTTTCTTTGTGAACACTTGAGACATTGAAAGTTACACATGTAAAAATGGTCAACAAAGCCGGGCGCTGGTGGCTCACGCCTGTAATCCTAGTTACTCAGGAGGCTGAGATCTGAGGATTGCGGTTCAAAGCCAGCCCGGGCAGGAAAGACTGTGAGACTCCTATCTCCAATAAACCACCAGAAAGCCGGAAGTGGTGCTGTAGCTCAAGTGGTAGAGCGCTCGCCTTGAGCTGAAGAGCTGAGGGACAGCGCCCAGGCCCAGAGTTCAAGCCCCCGACCGACAAAAAAAAAAAAAAAAGGTCAACAAATAGCCTATTCATGATACAAAATTACCATATAAACATTGACTGTTGCTACTCTAATTTAGATCTGAAAGGGCTGTGGAGAGATTAGAGCTCCTTAGTGGCAGTCCTAAAATAAAGACATGGGCTCCTGAGTCAGAATTACTAGACTTGAAGCCCATTGCTGTCTCCATCATCCTTTCATACTGTTTCCTCATCTTCAAAATGAAGACGATGATAACACTAAGTTCATAGAACTATTCTGAAGATTACTTAGCTGAATATGTATAAAGCTTCTATCAGTAATTACATGTAAATCCTCAGTGTGTATAATCCATATTCAGAAATGTTGGTAGTGATCAGATACTCTTATCAACTCCTGAAATCTAGTTTATAATTTTGCTGTTTGTTTTATGAAGACCATCTTTTTGCAATTTACTTGAAAATTTTGGAAGTAGGGGAAAATAAATCACTAAGATTTAGTTCAAGGGCTGAGAAGTTGGCTCAATAATAGAGTGCTTGCCTTGTATGCCTGAGGCCCTTGGTTCGATTCCTAAGTACCACATAAGCAGAAAAAAGCCAGAAGTGGCACTGTGACTCAAGTGGCAGGGCACTAGCCTTGAGCTGAAATGCTGAGGGACAGCACCCAGGCCCAGAGTTCAGCCCCCATGACTGACAAAAAAAAAAAAAAAAGATTTAGTTCAATATATGAAAATGGAACCATGTAACTTGAAGGGATGGGTGGGGAAGAATGATGGAAGGGGTGACATTGATCAAGATTCATTGTACTCGTATACCGAGTACAACTTCACACAACTACTACTACTACTACAAATTTTAGTTTATCTATGAAGTCTTGATCCTCCACTTAAAAACAGTGACTTTTTACAGTTAGAGTGTTGCCTCTATAAAAGTCGCACTGTTTGTTTCGGTACAGAGCCTCCCCTTTGTTATGGGTTACATGAATGAAAGAAAAGAGCCTTTCTATAAGGTACTTTTTTCTGGAGAAGTCTCAGGAAGAATTACTCTGTGGCACATTCCAGATGTCCCTGTATCCAAGTTTGATGGCTCTCCCAGAGGTAGGATAATTTCTAATCATATGCCTAATGAGAAATAATTTGTTTTTTTTTAATTCTTTTTTTCAAATTAATTTTCTTGATTGGTATTATAAAGGTGATGTAGAGAGAGATTACAGTTACATGCAGGTAATGAGTACATTTCCTTTCATACAGTGTCTTTGTCCCCTGACACTCTCCCAGTCCTTCCCTCAGGTAATTTGTAATTCAAGAATTTTCTGTGTTCGGTTATATGGGGTTACAATAAAAAAAAAAGTTTTCTCATAACCTTGTAAGTATTATATGCCCCCATAAAAGCAGAAATAAAAATGAGTCTTAGAGATCAGATATATTAGTACAGCTATCATAATTCAAATTAACATCAGTTGATTAAAACAAAGGATATATGTTGGCAATATGAATGTGGTTGAGCTGTACCACTATATTCCTAGTTTTAAAGCGTCTACCTAACTTGATTTATATTTTTCTTTCTTGTGTGTTTTCCTTTAGAGATACCAATAACTACCACCTGGACCCTTCAAGATAATTTTGATAAGCATCAAATGGTATCTCAAAGTATCATGGACCATTTCTCTGGCTTTAAAGATGAGGCAGGTAGTATGGTAGTCACATCATCAGAGTACGTTCCAAGTCTTGATAAGCTGATATGTGGCTGTGAAAATGGGACAATTTTCATCACCCAGGCTTTGAATGCTGCCAAGTCAGGACTTCTAGAAGGCTGTTCTTTACTAAAAGGTGATTGAACTTTATTTGACCCTATTTACATAATTAATGAAGCTTCAACTTCACTATGCTTTATTTAAAGAAGAGGCCTAAAAGGAATCTGTTAGTATTTGCTGAAAAAAAAACTGTGCATATTTTAATACTAAAATGAAATAGACCCCTTAACTTCTTCCTCTTTCTTTTCATGTTTCGATATTGAAGCTTGAACTCAGAGCCTCACGTGCTAGTTGAGCTTTTTCATTCAAGGCTGGAACTCTACCACTTCAGCCACAAGTCTACTCCTGGCTTTTTGGTGGTTAATTGGAAATAAGAGTCTCCTATAGTTTCCTACCTGGGCAGGCTTCAAACCATGATCCTCAGATCTCAGCTTCTTGAGTAGCTAGAATTAGGTATGAACCACCTGTGCCTGGCTCAATGGGAAGTTTCTTTCCTTATTTAATCTTCCAGCTCCTTTCAACAAAGGCAGTGGTAGTTTTTATAGTCTTTTTGAAATTTTATGTATATTTGTACAAGCACACTGGCATAGCAGTATATATTCTTTAATTCACTTACATAAGTAGAAATATATTCTAAATACATCATTTTCTTTCTTTTTCTTTTATTTTTTGTGCTAGGACTTGGGCTTGAATGTCCCAAGCTTCTTTTGCTCAAGGCTAGCACTCTACCACTTGAGCCACAGCTCCACTTTTGGCTTTTGTATTTTTATTTTTAGCAGTTTAATGGAGGTAAGAGTCTCCTGGCCTTTCCTGTATGGGCTGGCTTCTAACTATGATCTTCAGATCTTCACCTTATAAGTAGCTAGGATTATATGTATGAGCAACCAGCGCCTGGCCATAAAAACATCTTAATAAGATGTTCTGAGCTTGTTATAAATGACTGCCAATAATCAAATTTTAATTTTTAAAAATTTCTATTAATTAGTGTTTAGATTTTCTACTCCTTAGCTACTATGGGTAGTATAGAATTGATTACCTTTTTGCATATATGTAGACATACCTGTAGGATTACTCCCCATGAGTAGAACTACTGGATTAACAGTTATTCATATGTGTGTGCATGTATATATAATATATATATATCAATATATATATCTATATCTATATATATAGTTGGTGTTGGTGGTGATGGTGGTCATAGGGCTTGAACTCTAGGCCTGGGTGCTGTTCCTGAGCTCTTCAGCTCAAGGGACTACCACTCTACCACTTGAGCCACAGCACAACTTCTGGTTTTCTGGTGGAGATAAGAGTCTTATAGGCTTTCCTGCCTGGGATGGCTTTGAACCATGATCCTCAGATCTCAGCCTCCTGAATAGCTAGGATTAGAGGTGTGAGTCACCGGCACTCCAGCAGTTATTCATATTTTAATTTTAGAAATATACCTAAAACATTCTATAAAGAATTTACTTTGGTATACATGCATATCCAAAAAATTGCCTATGAAGTTTCCCCAAATTTGCTAAATTTTTGCTACTAAATTTTTGCTAAATTTTTGCTACTAAATTTTTTAATTTTTGCTAAATTTTTGTGCTACTAAACTTTTTAAATTTTGCAAACCAGGAATAAAATATATTCTCCTAGTTTAATTTTTGTTTATGAAATGTATATGTTTTATGTCTTTGACCATTACAACAAATAATCTATGATATAAATTGCATTTTGCAGCAAGTCTTCTTATATAAGACATCTAGGAAAAATGGAGATTTTAAGGTATATAGAAAAATGTATATCAGTTTTCAACTAATAAGTCCTATTAAAATGTGAAGTCTTTAAGAGTAGAGACTAAATCTCAATTTTAAAAAACACAAAAACCAAGCTGATGGTGGTGGCTCATGCCTGTAGTCCTATCTACTCAGGAGGCTGAGATCTGAGGATCGACACACA